TGCCATGAGCATCTGGCCCTTGGAGAAATACTGGTGCTCTCCCATTTCTGTGGAGCAAGTCCTAACTAATTCATGGATCATATAAAAATTCATAATTTCCCCCCAAAACTTGCCCTAAACTTATAAATAAAGTCAATTTATACACTGATATCATGCAGTACTGTATCAGCTGTTGAAGTGTGCATAAAATTTTATTCTGAAATGCATGATGCTTGAAATTTGGATAAAAATCTAAGGAAGCTTTCAAGAATTGTGTGGGCAGACCATTTACCGTAGCAGGATCTGTGTGACATGAATTGAGATATGAGAAAGTAGAAGGAAGAGTCTGATGACCACATAAGATGCAAGCAGTAGCCGAGCTGCATGACTCAATCTGGGGATCTCAGATTAGAGACTCAAGTGCTCTGCTGGGTCACTGCATCACCAACAACGCACTGCCAGGTATAACTCATTTTTCATTTTTTTTTTTGATTTGGTACAATTTTGCAATAACATTCATTGGTATATTATGGAAACAAACTAAAGCAGATATGGGCAAACCCAGCCCCCTTGGGCCCTTTCCTCAGACCCTCCTCTCTCACACCATCCTATCCTTCCTTCCTCCTCTCTCTTCTTCCTCCTTCTCTCCCTCCCTTACCTTCCTCTTTCTCCCTCCCTCTTTCCCTTATACCCTTTCCTCCTTTTATCCCTCCTTCCCTCTCTCTTTCTCCTTCCTTCCTTCCTTCCTTCCTTCCTTCCTTCCTTCCCTTTTGCCTTTCTTCCCTCCCTCACTTCCCTCCTTCCATTCATTTCCACCCTTCCTTTTCTTCCTCCCTTTCTTCCTTCTCTTTTTCCTTCCTCCTATTCTCCTAGGGGATGTTTAGTTGGGAGAAGAGAAGGTTGAGAGGAAACATGAGAACCATGTTTCAAGATTTAAAAGGGTGTCACATTGAGGAGGGGGGGAGGAGACTGACTTTCTGCTTCTCCAGAGACCAGGGCACAAGGGAGCAATGGTATCAAATGACAGGGAAAGAGATTCAGCTGGAAAGATTAGGAAGAACTTTCTGAGAGTAAGAGCTGTTGGAGAGTGGCATAGGCTGCCTCAGAGTGTGGTGGAGTCTCCTTCTCTGGAGACTTTTCCACAGAGGCTGTCTATCAGGAATGCTTTGATTATACCTTCTTGCACGTCAGGGGGTTAGACTGGATGGCCCTTGGGGTCTCTTCCAGCTATAGGATTATATATCATGAGTGGGCAATATGGGGTCTAATGGATACACTTTTACTCTCCCATCCTCAATTTCATCCTGATGAAGGCTAACCCTTTTGGGATCCAAATGTTTCCTGTCATTGCTTCACTTTCTGCTGCCAATAGAGATGGAAAAGGGAGGAAAAGAGCAGGGAGGGGGGCTTGGGGAGAATCCCCTCTCTCCCCTCCCAGCCTGCCCACCCCACTCCAGCCCACCTTATGGCCCCCAAGTTAGAAAGTTTGCCCATGCCTGAACTAAAGTAAGGAGATTATCACACAAATGTGTCAGCCATGTTGAAGGATGCCTAGACACAACTAAAAACACTCACTATTGAATGAAGTTGTTCTTACCTTGACCCAAAATATACTTGGAGTCATGAGTCTCCTTTTTGGCTTTTCAATGTATTTTCCAAAGCTTTAGAAAGCAGGTTTTAAGATAGACTAGAGACATTTATTTTATTCATATGTTTTGGGGGATGTAACATCCATTATGAGCTTTTTTTTTCCTCTGCAAAACAAAAACTTAACCCCTTTCCCCTGATCCTTTTTTTTCTCTTAAAATAAATAAATAAATAAATAAATAAATAAATAAATAAATAAAGGAACTGTGATGGTCCTTGCCTCCACCAAATGTCTAATAGGAATTTTACTTGTACAAGACAAAAATACATTGTGATACTTTTTGTTGTTTCTATTGGGTAGCTTTGATCCATAGGGCCAAGGATTCTCACTTGTTGTTGTTCATTCATTCAGTCGTCTCCGACTCTTTGTGACCTCATGGACCAGCCCACGCCAGAGCTCCCTGTCGGCCGTCACCACCCCCAGCTCCTTCAAGGTCAGTCCAGTCACTTCAAGGATGCCATCCATCCATCTTGCCCTTGGTCGGCCCCTCTTCCTTTTACCTTCCACTTTCCCCAGCATAATTGTCTTCTCTAGGCTTTGCTGTCTCCTCATGATGTGGCCAAAGTACTTCAACTTTGTCTCTAGTATCCTTCCCTCCAGTGAGCAGCCAAGCTTTATTTCCTGGAGGATGGACTGGTTGGATCTTCTCACAGTCCAAGGCACTCTCAGAACGTTCCTCCAACACCACAATTCAAAAGCATCTCTCTTCCTTCACTCAGCCTTCCCTAAGGTCCAGCTCTCACATCCGTAGGTTACTACAGGGAATACCATTGCTTTGACTATGCGGATCTATGTTGCCAGTGTGATGTCTCCACTCTTTACTATTTTATCGAGATTGGACATTGCTCTCCTCCCAAGAAATAAGTGATACTTAGATCAGGCATAATTCCATGAAGTTGTGATTCTTTGGGCTTCTCTCCACTTCTCCAAAACTCTGTATTCATGTGACCAACAAAAAGGGGAGGAATTGTTTTGTTCTGATACTGGTAGAGGCACCTACCAGTATGTAGTACTGGTGCTACTGCTGCTACTGGACAAGTAGCAGCAGTGACACAGAAGAGACGACAACCCTGTGGGGCTGATATGGTCCCAGCATATTAGTGCTGAATCCAGGGCTCCTCCTAGGACAGATTTACCTCTCAAAAATATGATTCATTCTTGGAGATAAATACATCCAGCCACTGTTAAATGAAGGAAAGCGCATCATAGGTAAATTTTTGTTTGGTTTTGGGATTGTTGTCTAATAATGGTAAATATCTATTTTCCAACACCTACATTTGTTGTCAATGCTCTGTACCCAAATATTACAAGGCCTAAGGGCTATACATAAAATTATCCAATGTCAGATGCCCCATGGGGAGCGTTTCAAATTATATAATTGTGTCATGATGTATTTCCTGAGCTTTAACAGTGCATAATGGGAAATTGTTAATTGCAATAAATGTATCTCTTGCTTGTTTGCTCTAGGTTTATTTGTGGACTGAAAGATCGATGAAATATTATGTAGATATATATTGCCCCATCCTAATGCTGAGAGGAGGGCCCGAGGAAGGCGTGCAGCAGGCTGAGAGCACTTCAGAGGGCTTCCAACCTCTGCATGCCTGTCTCTCTGATTCTTTTGGCATAAGGGTGTGGCGAGTTGCCACATCCTTATGTTCAGAGGATCAGAAAAATTTGGAAGGTCCGACATAAGTGCTCAGAGGGCCGTATCCGGCCCATGGGCCTTAGTGTGCCCATACCTGCCCTAGACCAATGAGGCTAGGATACTTGTTCCAAAAGACAGTTAGACTTATCTGTACATTCGTTTCCTGTTATCTATATATGGGCATATCAAGTGAAGGGAAAACAACTAACCAAGCTTTGATTGCTGTGAAGAAAGTGTGAGGTCATGCAGGAAGAGAGACAGGAAGGGCTGAATAGTGAGCCATCTTCTGCGTGACTTTCGGAATGTCTCAGAATGGTGGCCTTGAGTCTGATATTTTAGAATTGCTCTCTCAATGCATTTTACACTTTCAGGTGGATCCAACAAGTGTCATCCCAACTAGGGAAATAAAATGTTACAAGGGAGTTGGACATGTTTAGCTTGGAAAAAAGAAAGTTAAAGAATATGATAGAGATATGCACCAATTTGAAGGAGTTTCTTGAAGAAGACAACATGAGCTTGTTTTTTGCTGGTCCATAGAAATTATTATTATTATTATTATTATTATTATTATTATTATTATTTATCCCTTTATTTCCTTATGCCTCGAGGTGGGGCACAACATGGTTAAAATATATCATAATACTAAAATACATTCCATAAAAACACATATTAAAACCTATTTCTACACATTTTGAAATACATGGGACAAAAATTAAAACACAATAAACACAGAATGTGAATTAAAACATCATAGTTAAAAACGGACTGGGTGAGCCTACTAGAAGTGATAGGGTTGCAGTTGTGTTTTAAATTCTGATGATGGATTCAAATTACAAGAAAAAAGATCTTAACTAAACACTAGGAAGATTTCTTGTCCACAAGAGCTGTTTGGAATTTGTTGCCTTTATGGGTGGCCTCTTTTGCATGTCTTACAACCTCATCACATAAGGAGACATTGGCAAGTCTCTTCATGTATGATGTATGCTGCCAGGATGCCATTGCACAAAATCAGGCAACTTCTAGCAGGGCTCCTTGGAGGAAGGCTTCCCTTGGGACACAGGAGGCTACAAGTGTTCCATAGAGAACAACAGGGGAATCCAGGTGGCAACACTTCCTCTGTAGGATTAGGTAAGGTGTGCAGTGGATGATGCATGGTGTGGGACAATGGTTCCCGCCCCCCACTGCCCCATGGATTATGACCTTAATGTGATGATGTCCTAAAACCAAGGTTTGGATAGTCAGTTCTCAGGGGAGCTTAAGCTGTATCACAGGTGATACCCCATGACCAAGTATGCTTGTCTTCCAGAAGCAGAGTCTTGGCAAAGTATCCATTAGTGACCATACAGACCTATTCTGGATCTGCGTGTTCTGTCACAATGAGGACATTGATGTCTAGATGGAAGGTGGACTCAATAAGGATTTGCTTGACATGCTTCCTCCTAGCACACTTCTCCCTTTCACACTTCAAAAACCAAACTTTTCCTTGATTTGAGTCTACTGGGTAGAGGCTGATAGTCATGCAGTGTATGGCTTTCGCAGTGTTCAACCTTATTTCTCTCACAGTTAGCAGCAACTTCCCATCACACATCTGGGATGGGGGTAGGTTCTCTTGATAATGGATTTCCTGAAAGTGTAAATATTTTACCAATCTGGTGCTCCACCCTTGACGAGATACCTATCTGAGGTTATTTTCTTACCTCTGAGTATCGAGGTTATTCTGAGAGCAGACAACTCATTAACAGAGAGGCTTTTATGGCTTAGGAGGAGAAGATCTCAAGCCTTCATATTTGCCCTTGGAAGGAAACAGATGTGACTACGAAAAGGTAAACCATTCACTGTATTAACTGCTTTTGTGATATTGAATTCTTATTTTCTGTGTTGTCATTTCCACAGGTCTTGGGAAAGTGTTTACTATTTTTCCTCCCTACAGATTTACACCACCAGAATCTATACCTGAGGCACACTTTGACCAAAAACAACGAGACTTACTAGCAGTATGGGTTTTATTATTCTGACTGGTGAAAGAACTCTTCTTCTATTTTAATATGTAATGTATTGTTTGGTAGTAAACTCCTTACCAGCTCATTAGGTGGACACTGGTTGCACTGGGACTGATAAACCTACTCGTGGTGAGAGAACAACTGACAACAATCCAGTGTTTCCAACCGTGAAAGCCTTCAACAATACAAATTCTAGCAAAGGTTCTTCAATATATTCTGGAGGGGTCGCACCTCCTCCACAGTTTGGAAATAATACAAGCTGAAACTGTGATTCATTCTTTTTTAAAAAAAACCAAAACAAAACAAAAAACAGAGAAACAACCATTTTATGTGTTAACTGACAGTTGCAAATCATGCTCCAAAGCAAATGTAGAAAACTATTGGATGCTTTTATGCTTCTTTGGTTCATGGGGATACCTGAGGACTGCACCATATACTATAACCTATTGATTCTCCATCCTCTTACAAATATGGAGATAGAGAAATTTCAAATGCCAACAAAGGAGGTGGTGGTTTTTATGTATGGTTGCCACACTGTCAGGTATTTCTATCCTCTTGCATATACAATCACTTACCATAACTTATCTCTCTGCAGATCTTTTGAAGTGTATGGAGATGCAAAATAATTAGAATTCCTCTTCTAAGAAAAGTTGCATATCTGCCTTAAGAAATGTAAGTCTTTCTCCCCTGTGCTGAGTAATAATATGGCAAAATGGCTAATTGTTCCCAACAGATTTATTATTTATTTATTTACAGAATTTTATATACCACTTTTCTCACCCCTGGGGGGACTCAAAGCAATTTACACAGAAGTAGTGGCAACATTGAATGCCTTACAAAAGTACATGAAATTACAATCAATGTTTAGAGGGGAGGCATGACTGACTATTTGGAGGGTTGAGATGTGTGAATTCATTCAGGATTAAAATGTCCTGGGAAACTAAGGGTTATACTTTGCCCATCTTCATCATAAGGTGTATCCAGACAGCCCCTTTATTGTGGTAACTCCTGCAATAAAGAAGGGGCTGTCCAGATGACATCCTGGACAATCCTGAATTAATTAATTCGACACAAAGCAGGAAAACCCTGGTTTATAGCAAAATAATTAGATTGTGGATTTATTCCATGCCTTCTTGGAAGGCGTGAGATAAACCCACTACTTCTGGTAGTGGGTAAACCCGCTAGACCATTCCCACAGTTTTCTGGACTAAATTTTAAAAGTACCAAAAACTTACTCGGCTTCTAGTACAGTCTTGAGCAGTTATCCCAGCACGTAGAAAAGATGCACCAGGAGAGGGGGGAGAGGAGCGATTTTCCTCCTCCCCCCCCCCCACTCTCCTGAGGATCATTTCTACATGCCGGGAGAGCTGCTGCAAGACTGTACTGGAGGCCGGGTAAGTTTTCTTTACTTTTAAAAGGGGTCTGGGGGCTTTGGGGGAAGGGGGAGGGCTTCCAGATGTTCTCGCAGTCCAATCCTATGAGAGCATCTGGACACCCACACATTTTCTGTGGTGGGTGTGGAAGGCCCCTAGGAATATCCACATTTTTAGAGCGCAAATGGTCCTGGGATAACTCCCTGTCTGGAATTGCCCATAGAATCATTGAGTTGGAAGAGACCTTGTGGGCATCCAATCTAACTCCCTGCCAAGAAACAAGAAAATCACATTCAAAGCACTCCCAACAGAACGTCATCCAGCCTTTGTTTAAAAGGCTCCAAAGAAGGAGCCTCCACCACACTTGGGGGCAGAGAGCCTCATTCATTTAAGGGTGCATTCACACTGCAGAAATAATGCAGTTTGACACCATTTTAACAAGCATGGTTCAGTGCTGTGGCATCCCAGTACTACTGGACAGAAAAGGCTAAAGAGTTTGTAAAACTACAACTCCCATGATTATACAGCATTGAGCCATGGCAGAGAAAGTAAGGTAGAAGTGGATCACTCTGCTACAGTGAAGGTGCATAGCATGTCTCTGCCTCTTCATGTAATTTTAAAATGCATTATGGAGACTTGAGAACATTTCGAACACCATAAGCTATAAATAGACTAACTGAAAAATATACACATGAACTATGAACTGATCTATTGCATCACTCATAGAGACTAGTGCAAAACCCCTAATCTCTACGATTTGCTAGAGTATGGCTCTCCAGCAGCCTCTTTGTGACCTGAATAGGGGTGCAGATGCTACCTCCTTTCCCTTTTTGGTCATCTACCAACACAGGGACTAGTGTGGGACTTTGAAATACAGTTCCATCTTCCTGAGCAGCAATAGAACAGAGGGATGTGATGTGTAGAAAGAAAATGCCCATCAATCTTGTGCTGCAAGAATTTGCCTTCCTCAAGTCTTCTAAAATTTAATAGCTTTAGAATATTCAGGACCTGAAGTTTCACCACTTTTGTAGGAAGTCTATATTTCACTGGGCATTTTCTTATTTCAATTTCTGCACCTTTTTCCTGATTAGAGCAGAGCATCCACAACCTTTTGATTCAGTTATTAGGAAGACAGACCTGAGCACACCCTAACCCATCTGTTTAGCATCAAGGAAAAAAATCATTTTAAGCAAGCACGTGTGAATACCTCCTTCCATAATTGTTACAAAAATTCCATGTAGCAGTGTAACTAAGGAGATAAAGAACATACTTTATGAAAAGGACCCCAGCCTGTAGGGACATTGCCCATTATTCTGATGCAGGGCTGAGAAGTATTTCTCCCTCTCTCTTTTCTCTTGTAGGAGTCTACTCCAGAGGAATTTCAGCCAGTCACCTTCTTCGAACGTTGGAATGGAATATAATGCAACTGAGTTACAAAATCATCCGTATATCATAGGAACATTTATAGAAGCCACCATATTTCATCTGATCAGCCTTTCTGGACTTGTAGGGAATGGAATCGTCATTTACCTTCTTGGCTTTCACATTAAAAGAAATGTTTTCACCATCTACATACTGAACCTCTCCATTGCTGACTTTGGATACCTCACAGCGGTAGCTATTTGGAATATATTTTTGATTTTAAATTTGCTTGGTGGGATCTCCTTTATGCATTACATATCTTTACTGCATAGTTGTATCTTTCTGTTCACATTCCTGACCAGCCAGTTCCTACTGATAGTCATCAGCATTGACAGGTCTGTTTGCTTCTTCTTCCCACTTTGGTATCAATTCCACCATCCACCACGTCTGTCCACTGCTGTGTGCACCGTCATATGGATCCTCACCTTCTTAATCTCTGTTACGAATATCATTCTCAGTGACACTATTGAGTATTTTTGGATACTGGGCCTCCAGAATTACTTGAATACTATGATTTTTATGCCCATCATGTGTGTGTCCACTATAGCCATGTTAATTAATATCTGCTTAAGATCGCAACAAAAGAAATGTGGAAAACTGTTAAGAGCAATTTTGCTTGTACTTGCCTTCTTCTTCTTCTTTATTTATCCAATTAATATGATTTACTTTATTAATATATTTCAAAACATTGATTATTATGTCTTTTTATATACCAATATTTCTGCCTCTCTAAAAAGCGCCATTAACCCCATGATCTATTATTTGGTGGGAAGAGATAAAATGGGGAGATCCAGTAAGAGAATAGATAAAGTACTTGAGGAACTTTTCAAGGAGGAGGAAGTCTATAGAAAAAAACAGGAAACCACAGAAGAGCATCAGTTATAAGGTTATTTTGACCAAAGAGTCTTTTAAAAATGTATCCCCCCCGACTCTCTCTCTCTCTGATTTATCTGAAAAGTGTAAAGGAATAAATATGGATTTTATACACGCCAATTCATTCAAAGATATCAGTGTATTTCTATGCATTTCACTTTACTCCATTCAACAGATCAAGTATAATGTACTGCTTCTCAGACTGACCCAATATTCTGGGAAGGTGTGTTCACATTCTCCATTACCACTTCAGCTTCAAAAGTGGAATTCTGACCATCCAGTCGGACTAAACCTGGACCAATTCTGTTGGGTAGATAGGGAAAGGAACATAAATGAGTAAAATAAATGAAAATGCAGCCTGAAATGAAAAAAGGCAGGGAGAAGTAAGCACCTGTATTTAAAAAAATAGTCACTGTGGTGTGTCTACAGTGGAATATATGCAAAAAAAAAAGCCCTTTGTAAATTCTATTGTTGAAGACTTTCATGGCCAGAATCACTAGGTTGTTGTGAGCTTTTCAGGTTGTAAGGACATGTTTCAGAAGCATTCTCTCCTGATGTTTCACCCACATCTATGACAGGCATCCTCAAAGGTTGTGAGATCTGTTGGAAAATGGGAAAGTGGGGTTTATATATCTGTGGAATAATGTCCAGGGTGGGAGAAAGAACTCTTTTCAATTCGAGGTAGGTGTGAATGTTTCAACTGGCCACCCTGATTAGCAGGAATAAATATGGATTTTATACACACCAATTCATTCAAAGATATCAGTGTATTTCTATGCATTTCACTTTACTCCATTCAACAGATCAAGTATAATGTACTGTGTAGCCTAACAGACTACACAGAGAAGCCATTGAAATCCACAAGCATGTGGACAATTTCAACAGAAAGGAAGAAACCATGAAAATGAACAAAATCTGGCTACCAGTATTTTTTAAAAAAATCTAAAATCATGACAGTAAATAAAGAACAACATTCAAAAACAAGGAAACTCCAGACAAGAAACAGTCACCACCCAACAAAGGATTCCCCTAGGCAATAAGAAGCCACAACCTGAAACTGCTAGACCATTAAATGCTTATCAAGGTAGCCAACTGATTCACACCTACATCAAACAGATCTTTTTCCCACCCTGGACATTCCACAGATATATAAACTCCATTTTCCTAGTTTCCAACAGACTTCATAATCTCTGAGGATGCCTGCCATAGATGCAGGTGAAACATCAGGAGAGAATGCTTCTGGAACATGGCCAGACAGACTGAAAAACTCACAACAACCCTTTGTAAATTAGTTGCTGCTGCTCTGCTCTATCTTGAGTGCCTAGAATGGTCCCGTCATTATGGCTGATGAGTTTGGCTCAGGCCCAACAAGAAGTTTAAGAAAGAGGGAAGGAAGGATCACTATACTTATCCTGATTGAAGAGTAATGGGATGAGAGTGATTCTCACTAACAGAGGCTCATCATGAAGACAGATAGCAATATTTTGTCAATTATTTGTATAGTCATTTTTGTCAGTTATTTTCAATTTATACAGGATATATATATATATATATATATATATATATATATATATATATATATATGGCATAAATCTTTCTTCTTTATTTTTCTTCCTTCTGTTTATTCTTTTGATTGTAATGTAAAAACCAATGAATAAATATATTGAAAAAAGAGTTCTGTGTATTGCTTTTTATTCCTGGTTATATTGACATAGGTCCTTCTACATAGCCAAAATATCAAGGAAGAAAATCCACAATATCTTCTTTGAACTGAGTCCATACTACCATTTAATCCAGTTCAGTGTGGATTTTATACAGCTGTGTGGAAGCAGCCACAGTATGAGTTTGAAGCTCATTAGTTGTAGGATTTTAATTATGGTAATAGATGTGTATAAGGGGAATTAAGTAGGAAAAAACCCTTTTTTTAAAAAAAACACATTACCACAGCTAGTAGGGAACTAATAAATCCTATAGCTCAGAATAGCTGAAAATCATCACTTTGGAGGAATATATAATGTTATGAGTGTCAACTCAATATAATGGTTTGACCATTGGGCTACTATCTAGAAATTCAGCTATTGAAACCCACTGAGTGATCTTGGAAGAGTCAAATGCTCTCGGTCTCTGAAAACCTGATGATAGTTTCACTGTAGGTTGATGATAAGCTGGAGATTACTTGAAGGCTCACAACAACAGGAATATCATGCTGACAGCTTCAGGGGTTCTCAAGATAAGGCCAAGCCACTGACAAGTGGAAAAACAGCTTCTCTAAAGTTAGTCTATCAGAGCATGGAGTGGTTAGCACCTTTCTTCCTGATGTGTACTGTTGTTCTTTTTAAATGTGTGGCAATGTGTTTACTGACTGAAGACACTCACAAGGAAACCATATGTTTTATTTAAGAGATAATCAGAGATGTACAATCAGGCCTAACATCAGAACCTAAGAGAGCAGAGAGTAATCTCTACATCGTTGGAAACACAGATTAATTTTCTTGATCTAGTATCATTATGTTCTTTTCCTTTTGAGATAAGGAAATATTTCCCAATGACTGTAAAGAGTCATGAAGATATAAGAGAACAAAATGCAAAACCTGCAAAACAGTTATACTTTTATTTGACCAACTTCAAAGCATAAAATATAGTATGCACATTTTCAAGCCTTCACAGCCTTCTTTGTCAGGCAAATATGTTAAAATTGATTGCCATTTCTGTGTCAGTTAAGATGGTCTTCTGGGTGCAAGGAGAAGTCTTTCCCCTACCTGGCCATGTGAACACCAGGAACAAAAGGCAATAAAGACAGCTAAAATATTCTACTCCATTAGCAACAGGAAAGTAACTTCCCCTAATATCCGGCTGCCCCTGCCCTGTGTGTAGCTAGCTGCTTCTGATACATCAAATGCCAAGATACAAGACCTCTTTGCTTGTATATTATTGTATTTATTCAAACATTTGAAACACATATTTACTAGGCTTGGGCGGTTTTGTTCGTTAATTTCGTAATTCGTTAGTAATTCGTATTTAAATTAGCTTACGATCCAATATTGAGCCATGCAGGAATAGTGTGAGGAGTAAATTAGATTCGAAACATTTTTTCAATTTATTTCGTTATTATTTCGTAATTATTTCAAAATTATTTTGTAATTATTTCGTAATTATTTTCGCATGTCTGGTGCAAGTTTTATAGTTGTTGTTTGTTTTATCACACCAACAGTCAACAACAGAGGGAGAGGGAAGCTTCAGAAGTTCCCCCTGTCCCATTTGGAGGTTTTTTTAGCATATTGCGCAATCGCGTCCACCATTAACGAATCGATTCGTAATTTTACGAAATTTCGTAAATTTCAAAATTTTTAAAAGCAAAATTTTGGAATTCTTTAAAAAAACAAAACGCGATGGACCCCTAAAAACGAAGCGAGTTTAGAAACAAATTTTTCCGTTGTTACCCAGGCCTAATATTTACATTGAAAGAGATCACATACAATAAATTAGAAGCACAAAAGGAGGGAAAATAACAACATTATTTTTTTCTGAACATTGAGCAAATCTCCAAATATAAAAAAGATCTAAATATAACTCCATATTTTCAAACATAAGTCAATTTATCCAAATTTCAAATGTTGCAAGTGTTGTTGGGTCATCTGTGAAGAAATGTTTCTATTAAATAAGTATCATTCATACTGATTTTTGATGGTTTTATTATTCAATGGTTTTATTGTATTGATATTGTATTTTATGGTCTTGGCACCAAATGTAAACCGTCCCGAGTCGCCTCTGGGCTAAAAGGGACGGTATAGTAAATAAATAAATTTTAACGATGAAAAAGGTGTGAAAATTCACTTGTTGAACATTTCTTGATTTCCAAGAAACAGCTAAATAATTCAAAAGATCATCAACAATCCTGAATAACAAATAATTTTCCAAAATCAATTTTATTCATAGTCTCGCTTCTACTCAAAATGTAGCTGCCATATGACAACTCCAAAACATATGCAAAAAGCATTATTTGTACTATGTATCGTATAATTTTCTGATAAACCTTCTTGTACACACATTGCCATCATTAATAACTGAAAAGAGTGATTTCTGCTGTATAAGAAATAATCAGACAGCTCTAGTCTCTATTAATGAATAAAGATGATCTGTATAATTTACAGCAAAACTTGAAGAGAAATGAAAAATCCAAATTCTGACTAATTCCTGGTCATTAGTTTTACCATCTTTAGCTGAGAACTTATTTTGCAGAAAATACACTCATGCTTGTTTTGTGCAAAAAAAACAACACCTTTTTACGAGGAAGACTTGTGGTTGCTTTTGCTGTACCCATTTATAACTGTCCCTATACAGCCCACGAGCTTTAAAGATGATTACTTCATATTATGTTTCTGAGATCCAAATTATCCCAATGTATTGATCATATTTACATTAGGAGCTGGTGCGTTAGCCATGCTTTTGCCATCCTTTAGCCTGGCTCTATGCAACTTTTGCTCTGCGGTTTGTACAATATACACAAAGATCAAAATCTCTAAATCTCATGTACAATTCTTCGAATGAAATCTTGAGCAGCAGTGTGATCTGAGATACTATAAAATACTTTGGGAGCAGGTGCCCTCTTGAGATGAACTATTCCTACACAGACAGGTGGAAGTCAGGTCTGCATGTCATGTCTTACCTAGCTGAAAAATATTGTCATTTACACTATCCTAGATAAAGTTTCATGGAGCAGAAAGAAAAGATTCTTCTGTCATTTTCCCTACTTTTTTACAGACAAAACTAACGAATAGTAGAAGACTGAAGACAGGATGATCTTAAAGAAAATCCTTTCCTTATCTAAACAGCTTGGGAAATGTGGAGATGAAATAAAAGAAACATAATGAGACATAAAGAGGCGGAGTCGTGTAGTGGTTTTAGCACTTGACTGAAACTCTGAAGACCAGGATTAAAATCCCTGCTTTGCCATTAAAACTCACTGGGTGAACCTGGACAAGACACAATCTTTTACTTAGAGCAGGACAAAAGCATTTCTCCCAGTGAACAAGAAAATCTCATCATAGGTTCACCTTAGAGTAACCATATTTCAGAAATGACTTAATGGTACACAGCGACAAAACTTCAGTGTTAACTCTAAAGGGATCAACCAGCATCTAGCATTTTCACCACGAGTAGCTAGCTGTTGTGAGATTATGGTTTGGATTAATTCTGCAAATTCATGAATGCTCTACATTTTCACTATCTCTTACTTAGTTTAACATTCATTCACTGGTCTTAAATTACATATTTCTGATGGTGTTAGCAGCCCCTTAGACAGAGAAGGCTGAAGATCTCTTCAACCATCCTTCTCTTCCTTTTTGGAAATAGACGGCAAATCCTCCCATCAAAAGCCTTCCACCTACACTCTGGATGTAGGTGAACTAACACTCCAAAACTTAAGGTCAATGCCCACCAAACCCTTCCAGTATTTTCTACTGGTCATGGGAGTTCTGTGTACCATGACTGGTTCAATTCCGTTGTTGGTGGAGTTGAGAATGCTCTTTGATTGCAGTTGAACTATAAATCCCAGCAACTAAAACTCCGAAATGACAAATCAATCCTCACCCCCAACTCCACCAGTATTCAAATTTGGGTGTATCGGGTATTTGTGCCAAATTTGGTCCAGTGAATGAAAATACATCCTGCATATCTGATATTTACATTATGATTCATAACAATAGCAACATTATAGTTATGAAGTAGCAATGAAAATAATTTTATGGTTGGGGGTCACCACAATATGAAGAACCGTATTAAGGGTTTGCAGCATTAGAAAGGTTGAGAAACACAACTCTGGTTATTTTAGCATGCCATTCGGGTTGAGTTTTGGGTGAATGAGTTTCAAATCAACTTTGAGTCATTCTAAGATTTAGAAATCAGGACTCAAAATATTTCTAAGATAACAAGAGAGTGAAAAATTAGGCTGAAACTATGGCTCAACTCCTTTAACACACGGCTGGAAAACATGCTCCAAACTCCTAGCTTGGTGAAGAAGCTGATGCCATTCCCTTTCCCTAGCTACTTATCTTACATATACAGTGGCAGCTGGGGGATTTGAGGATTCAGTAATTTCATTTTCCTCAGCACCAGTCAAGCTTCAACATTAGACTAGTTATTCCTTCCTGGATAATGTAGAAATTCTGCAACATTTTGAATCAGTGACTGTGCTGGCACGGCTGTGCCAGGAGTTTGCATTTCTTTTTCATACATGGCTTGTTTGCTTTAATTCATTTGGGTCATGCATTTTGCATTAAGGTGGTTTCCCTCAGTTTGCAACCATAGGGCCAAGGACCCATCCATCATCGTTAGGACCTTTAGATCCACCCCTTTTCCCAGTTTTGGAGGGGAAAGGGGGCCTTTAGTTCAGTTACAGTTGGAAGTCTTACAGACAGGACGTGT